ACTCTAATACCCTTTGCACAGTTGACTGGGAGGAGGGTCATGGGGGGGGCACATGACCCCCCAAGATTGGCCTGACTCAGCACCGCGCAGGATGGGGCAGTTTTTTGCTGCGCAGGCCAGCGGCATGTTGGGGAGTGGGGCACTAAGCCACAACACAGAAGTATAGGAATGGCCCACCCACAAATTGTGCCCCCGCCAGACTCAGGAGGCACCAGTCACCCCTGACTCTTTGTTTAACTTGTCAAGCTGTTATGTCACTCCACTAAATAAGGACCTGTTTAAAAAATAAAGCAAGGCAAATAAAAGCTGAGTCACCAAAACTGGAAGCTACAGCGATTTAATGTAAAGTATGTAAGTAGTGCACAGCACAGGGCTTAAAGGCTGTGGCAACCGGAACTGGGAAAAAGAGGAGCAAACAAAATCTTAGGAAAATATGCTAAGAACACCTTTTTTCATTGGACAAACCTTTTGTGACATAGCTGATGATCAGAGAAACTAAAAATAAAACCAACAAAAAGGCAAAGTGTTCAGAAAAAATTATTTCAGCAATGTGCTTTGATTCATAGGGCAGCCAAATGCTTTGTATCTCTTTCCCTGCCCACCCCATCTCTGTGAAGCAAAACATGCTGCAATGTAAAGCTCATTTAACAGAAAGCTTCAGACATTGTATTAAAAAGTAAAACACATAATAACTAAGCACACGAGAGTGGATAAAATTTTAGGATGTTTTAGAACTATGGCCTCTACTGACTGAATCAGTTTGAGACAAACAGGGAAAGAAAATCACCCCAGCTGGAAAAAAAGATAATCAAGGATCCAAGACAGATGGAAGCATGCAAGTATTTGAAAACCACAGGTGAGGAGCACACACACGAATTCCAAAAGGCAATAGGGCAAAAATTTTGGAGCAGGGTAATGTGTTAAAAAACAATTCCCATATTTTTAAAGCTAAATATGTAGAATCTAATCTAATCTGACAACCTCTGCTGTGTGCTATGGAATACAATCCGATAGGTCTTCCGGAGGTCACAGCAACTGCTATGCGACTGATACAATGAATAAAAAAATGTGCCAAAAGCAGAAAGAGTTGATACTGTAATTCACAGTTGCAAATGGCTGATTGTTATTCTATAGTTACATATAGTCAGAAGAACACACAATATAAAATGAAAATTTTACTACAGCAATCTTTTACCCACAAGTGCTCCAAGTACTGTATTCTGCAACTCACTGCAGAATACATTATGGATAAAATACAGCAAAGAAGGAGAGCACAAACCAGCTTGGATTTTATAGCGACTAAAATGCATGAAAAATTATAGCTGTACTGCAGCACATGAATAGTACTAGCAAATCTTTTCTAAAACTCCATTTTTCTTTATGCTATATATCTACTTATTGCTATGTGTCAAAGTCATTCCTACAATAACTCACATTAAATATTTCTAACTTAATTTGAATAGGGCCTGACCCCACAAAGCTTTCTACATACAAGAAAATGTTACACATTAAAGTCGTCTAAATTATTTCAGTAAGCTTATCTTGTCTCAGGATACGTGAATGCTCTGTCTTGAATGGTAAATTTAGTCAAATAAGAATTACTATTTAAAATTCTGACATGAAATTTTCATTTATGTGGAAATGATATTCGCAGAATTAATTAATCCAGTCATAAAAAGATCAATTATTTTCCATATTATAGACAGTGGGAAATAACACACACAGAGGATTTTTTTTGTGCTGTTATTTAATAACAGATAAAAGCTCCACATTGAAGTAGCCAGTTGCACATAGTGGCCAGGATAACTGCAGCCAAGGTGCCCAGAACACTGGGAATAGTTTCTGTTACCATGTTCTTCATTATTGATGAAATAGGAATATTGCTGCCTGGACTCATAATATGCAAAGAGCAAGGATCATAAGTGAGAAATAAACACATAGGGGAGAGAAACCACTTCTCTTAAGTCAGGGGCAGGCAATTATTTCGGGTGGAGGGCCGTTTACTGAGTTTCTGCAAGCCATTGAGGGCTGCATGACAGGCAGCCAGAGGCAGATAAATATAAATTTTCTAAATTTTTTAGGGGCCCTGCAGGCTGGATAGAATGGCCTGGTGGGCTGCATCTGACCCGCAGGCCACATTTTGCCCACCCCTGTCTTAGGTAAACAGTAGATGCATATTGTAATGGAAAGGAAAATAACAGTTTACCTTGACATGGCCATGATAACTAGGCCATGTGCAGATAACTGAATAAAAAAAATGAAGCTGCAACCTTGGAAGAGCCCATTTGGGATTGGAAATTCCATATATGGTTCAAAGAAATTCCAATGTTCAAGATGCACACAGACAAATGTTGTGTATAAAAGACACAGTCACAAATAAATCCCCAGAAAAGTCAGCAAACAAATGGACACCTGATGTACGCTGAGAACATGCTGGAGTTTTATACGTTTTAAAAGATGACTTACGAGGTTCCCAACACATTGCATCAACTGTCGGTAAGTCCCCAACATACACAATAAATCAGTGTGAATTCATATTCTTCAGACTAATAATACAAAACACCCAAGTCCACAGGTATCCGATATTCACTATTCTTTTCTCACTAGGTTCATCAAAATGTAACATAAGAAATGCTATGCCGACAGAGGTCCAGTATTTGCTGTGTCACAGGGGAACCGTAATTATGTGAGGCCTATCTAGACTGATCTGTCCCCTGCCCCTCTTACTTTACAGCTTCCAGCATTTAGAGACCTAGGAATCACTCACTTGTCCATTCTTCAATGAATGGGCTATTTTTGCCATTTTTCACTAACTTAACTGATGTTTTGCTCCTGCCTGCCAATTTCACCAACATTTTACCAATTTTTCCAATCTTGTTTTACCATATTACTGTTTTATCACTTTTACCATATTTTATTGTTTTTATAATTTTTCTCTGACCTCACCAATTTTTTACTGTTTTCTACTATTTTACCCTGCTTTTCTATTTTTTTTACCCTTTTCCCTGCAGCTTTACTTTTTTTACTGACTTTCCCATTTTCACTGTTTTCCCTGACTTTTATTACTGTTTTTTTTCTTTTTCTCTAACTTTACAGGTTTACCATATTTACCAGTCTTTATTAATTTCCCCCCATCTTGACTGTTTTACCATTTTCCCCCAACTTCAGCTTTTTTAACCCACTTTACTTACTTTGCCATTTTTATTTTGCCAAATATATTGGGTTTTTAACCACTGCAGTAATTTGTTTTACTAATTTCTTACAAAAAACTATTTGTTCCTAACTACCTATCCTTTACCAATTTTAACATTTCTATCTTTCTCCATTTTTCTCATCAATTTTTCCCTGAAATTCCTATGTTTTAACTTTTACCTTTTTACTGTTTCCCAACTTTACTATTTTTATTGGTAAAAACAAATTACTTCATCAACTCTACAGTTTATAACAGTAAAATTTTTACCATTTTCTTACAATTTTTTCCTAATCTCACCATTGTTAATAGGCAACTTTTATTGGTTTTAACGCTTCCCCCTTTACAATATTTTCACTATTTCCCAAATTTTATCATGTTTAGTGGTAAATATTTTATTTTTTCACCATTCCCTTCCATTTTATCATCTATTTTTTAATATTTAACTGTTTTTTTCATCGTTTCCTCCCACTGGACTATACCATTTTAAAACTCAAAGGAAGAAGGTAAAATAAATTTCTTAATCCATCTGCACTAGCCCATTAACTAATATTAGCACCAATGCATGTTTATTTAAATGAAAGCATCCTGTAGGGGAACCATTTACCTTATGGACGTCAACCACTAAAGTATCTCTTTCAATCTCAGTATGTGTTTTAGAAAGTATTTTCTTGTACTTCTTGTGTTCAAGCAGTCACCCTATAAGCAGATTGGGATCCACTGGATCCTGAAACCCACTGAGGGTGAGATTATAGCTGTTACTTTACTAGTGAAATGGGTGGCACCAGGCAGGTCACACCATGAACAAGGATGCCAATTCCGTTTTAATGAGATAAATTCGGAACTGCATTATCTTCTAGCGTCTGCCATATTCTGTATGGATTGCCTGAAGCAGCTGAAAAAAAGTTCAAATGATCCTGAGGGAGTTGTGTGACATTATATATTGAAACCCAAACTGCCATTGCCAAAATACATTTTATAGAAAAGAATGTCATTGTGAATAGCAGCCTGCGTGTTCCTTGCAAGTACTTGCCATTCCTGTTAATATACATGGGGTTCTGACAGATTAGTATCAACTGTCTCTTTCTATGACTTTGGGACTACTTTCATTCCCAGGTTTGTAACTTCCTTGCCATACATGCTCATAGTTCCCTTACTTAATGAACTCCACAGCCTCTGGAGTGCATGCCCACATGTAGGGTTGAGTAGATTTCATTAGAAACCCTGGTAGACCTGCCTGACTCATTCTACCCACAGCTCTTTGATATCCATAGTTCGCAGAGAGAAGAATTTCTGAAGTGCCCCAGATGTTCCAAGAAGTTTCTAAATAATCTATTCCCAAACCCTATCTCCCTCTCCCTCACTTTTGCTTACAAGTATTATGAAGAATTCTATTATCAAAATCTCAGATTGATCAGTATACACATTTAATATTGCAGCCAACATGAGTTTAGTGGGACTATTTTAATGTATAAGGATTACTTGTGTAAGCAAGCATTTACAGGAACAGCCACTTTTGTGTGTCCCTAATCACATTTCCATATGGAGCAGACAGACTTCTAAAAATTCCTTTACACACAGACCTGATTTCTGCTTATTAGTTTCTATTGACTATAATTTAAGATCACCCCTGTTCCATAATGTTACTTGATATATATCATCATCCTTTTTTACATGGTAACACATGGTATATGATGTAGTAAGAAATGGAGATGAAAAGTCTAAAATGTATTTGTTTAAATAACTAAAAATAAAAGCATGATGCAACTAGAAGAAACATTCTTTGAACATTATACAGATGTTGTCTTACCTTCCTACTGGTCCCAGATCTCCTGAGTCCTGGCTGCCAGCTTCACTGGGAGTGCTCACTGATTTCGAAGAGGGAGACATAGGGGTTGGGACTAAATAATGAAAATAACAGGTATCCCATGTTAAAACATGCAGCGACTGCACTGATGAAGAACAGTGTCAGACAAATCAAAACCAATGAAAGAAATGATAATGGATGGATGAGTAGGAGTATTTGAAATGGTGAAAGCAAATAAGGAAAGGAAAGAAAAAGAAAAGGAAGAGAATCAAGTGAATTTTAAATAATTTTTTGGAAACTTTATAACTGAAACTAATTTAGACAGGACTGAAAGCCAATTCTGGTTCTATAGATACTACAATGTGGTGGGGACAGCTATCTTTCTTTCTTTTATTTTAAATGTGAATTGTGAGAGGGATACAGACAGAGACACACAGACAGAGACAGAGGACATTTATAGATGTGCTCTGCGAGGTGGGGTGGGAGCATGCTTTAATTAGCACAGCTCTGAGAGCCGTGCTAATTAAAAGCACCCAGAGCATCACGTGTATCAGCGTCTCCATGCCGAAAAGTGAGGGCAGGGCACTTTGAACTAAAGCTCATCGAATGAGCTTTAATTCAAAGCTCCCCAAAGCCATTTTTCAGTGCGGGGACACTGATACACGTGACACTGGAGTCTGCTGTAGTGCGGCAATTACCACACTCCAGGAGACTTGATTAATTGAGTCTGCTCCAATGCGCTGTAATTACAGCACATCAGAGCAGCCTCCCTGCATGTGTAAAGAAGCCCAGAGAGATGAAACAGAGAAAGAGGCACAGAGAGATAGACAGAGAGACCACAGATATGTTTTGCTTGTTTGTTAGGAACCTAGGCCTAAGCAAACTCCTTTAAATTCTAATAGCACTAGGCAATTAAATAATCGAATGTAAAAGTAAAATATAAGTAAAATAATTGAATGTAAAAGTAAATATACTGCCTACTGGTCATATTCTGCAGTTTCTTCTTGTAAATAAAATATAAGGGGAAAACAAAATAGAGAAATCTGCCTAGGGAAAAAAAACTCTCCGAAAATTAAGTGAGAATGCATATGAACTTGTTGCATTTTAGTTGTTTTGCTGTTCTCTTCTGTTTTGTAAGGTAATTTAAGTTACAAAGAGACATAATGAATCTGTTGTTTGGGACCTGATATATCCCCATTGATAAATAAATAAACATTTGATCAGACCCTGAGAGTTCTTTTTCTGTGGCTAAGAAAAACTACTGGAATATACTATTTGCCTGTATATGCAAAGACAGGTATGTCTTACCCAACTGGAAAGAAAAAACTTATAGCTTAAGGTCAGCCTGAGTTAAAGCTCTTATCCAGAGAAATAATCAATACAAAAAGTAAAAACATTCTGAATATTTTTTCCAAATTGTCTCAGCAATATGCAAACAATGAAAAATGTAGGGATGGCCCGTGTCTGTATTTAATGCGACTGTTCTTCAGAGCAGCCACATGGAAGAAAGCACAGTAAAGAGACAGATTTTAATGCAACAGTGAACTGTTTGGTTCAAATCATATGCATTTCCTTTTACGGATTTAACAAAGTAAAACTTTCAACTATTTTGTTATACCTTATAATGTATAATAACATATCTGTCAAAAGACCTGGATTTTCCACGTGGCCAGACATTTCATACAAACTGTCACTAGGGACTGTCAAAGAAACAAATGTACTATAAAGAGTGAATTCATTTTCATGACAGCCCTTTGACAAGGACAGGTATGCAGCGGTTGCTTAAACATTCCATGTCCACTTATTTCACAGCTATTAGTTTTACTTGAAGCTGTGTGTGTGTGTGTGTGTGTGTGTGTGTGTGTGTGTGTGTGTGTGTGTGTGTGCTTAAACATTCCATGTTCACTTATTTCACAGCTATTAGTTTTACTTGAAGCTGTGTGTGTGTGTGTGTGTGTGTGTGTGTGTGTGTGTGTCCAAGGCAAAACTATATATATAGTTTTGAATATATATATGCAAAGGTAAAATTACAGTCCTTAGTACATTTTAATTGTCAATTTAAAGGGAGAAAAATGGATTTCTATTGTTTAACCAAATCAATAATTGTATAGGTTAAATTAAAGTTCTTTTGATAATGTCATAGAGAAATTTAGCACTTCATGTTAAGAAGTTGGACTATTCTGAGTGTTTGTATACATTTTGTTTTAGATACTACAAAATTATTAGACCATAATTTGGGGATAATGAGTAGATTGAGTATTTTGTGTTTTTTTCTGTTTAAATTACTATTAATCAATTGCTTTTGTAGCATCTTTACATAATATATAAAATACAATATATTTAACATCTAAGTCTATTAAGGAAAGGCCTAGGCAGGAACAGATGCATCCTGAAGATGAATGCATGGCTGTACAGATGGTGTCACCAGCAGGGATTTTGCTTCTTCAACCACAAGATGTTTCCAAGAAGGATTGCTAGGAAGAGACAGGAATCGCCTACCAAAGACAGGGAAGGGCA